TCTTTCTTTTCTCTTTTCTTCCTTTCTCTCTCCCTTTTTCTTTCTCCCTCTTTCCTTTCTTTCTCTTTTCTTTCTTTCCCTCTCTCCTTTCTTTCTCTCTCCCTTTCTTTTTTTCTTTCTCCCTCTCTCCTTTCTTTCTCTCTCTCACTTTTCTTTCTTTCTCTCCCTCTCTTTCTTCTTTTATTTTTCTTTTCTTTCTCTTTCTCTCTCTCTCTCTCTCTCTCTGTCTCTCTCTCCCCCCCACCCCCACCCCTCCTAAGTGCCTACCAGGTTGCAGGCTCCATGATAATCTCTTGGGAAACATCCATCAGTGAACAAAACAGGTAAAAGTCTCTGTCCTTCTGGGGCTTATGTGCTAACAGGTGGGAGATAGGCAGTAAAGAATAAACTTAGGCACCTGAGTGGCTCAGACGGTTAAGCATCCAACTTTAGCTCAGGTCATGGTCTCATCATTTGTGAGTTTGCACTGACAGTGTGGAGCCTGCCTGGGATTCTCTCTCTCTGCCTCTCTCCCACTTGCATGCACAGACGCTCTCTCTTGCTCTCTCTCTCTCTCTCAAAATAAGTAAACTTTAAGAAAAAAGTGTGTAAAAAAAAGAATAAACTTAATGAGCAAATAAGTCAGAAGCTGATAAACATCATAAAAAAGAAAAATAGAGCCACAGGAGGGGTTTCACAGAGCCAGTCCATGGTGCAGGCTGTAATTTAAAATACCGAGGTCAGGATAACTTCCTGGAGGTGAGATGCAAGCTAATACAGCAGGTGAGAGAGTTAGCCCATTGACAGCTAGGGGAAGGACTTCCAGGCAGAGGGAACAGTGCAGGTAAAGGCCCTAGGGCAGGAATGCACGTGGGATGTTCCAGGAGGCCACTCTGAGGCACAGAAAGGAGAAGGGAGTAAGGAAGAAGCTGGAGAGAGCTGGGCCAGAGCAGGCTGTTTGGCTCTTACTCTGAGCGATATGGGAGTGACTGCAGAGTTGTGAGCCGACGAGTCCCATGACTGAATAGTTACAGAACTACACTCTATGCTTTGTGAACTTCTGGAAGTTTCCCTAATAAACAACTAAAATGGCAGCTGGGCCTCAAACAGGCCATGAAGGATGGGACAAGGTGGAAGCAAGAAGGCTCATTAGGGCCCGCTAAGTAATCTGGCTGACTGCTGGCCAGGCTGGTCCTGGCAGGTGACTGCATACGCCATCAATCTGTAGGTTGAACCAGTGGAATTTTCCGGTAAAGCATGAGAGAAGGGAAGGAATCAAAGACAGCTCCAAGATTTCTGGAACGGGCATTTGGGGATTTGGGGAAAGCTGGGCATTGCCATCAATTGAGACCAGGAAGACTCTGGGTAGACCAAGTTTAGAGGTCTCTTAGTTTCCTGTTGCCACTGCAATAAATCAATCAGTGGCTTAAAACAACGCACATTTACTCTCTTACAGTTCTGAAGGCCGGAAGTCAGAAACCAGTCTCACCACACTAAAGTCAAGGTGTCAGTGGGGCTCCTTCGTTCCGGAGAGCCTCCTGAAGGAAGAATCGGTTTCTCTGCCCTTTTCTGCTTTTAAAGCACACCCTTCCAGGGGCACCTGGGTGGCTCAGTCAGTTAAGCATCTGACTTCAGCTCGGGTCATGATCTCACGGTTTGTGAGTTCGAGCCCCGCATCAGGTGAGCTGGAGCCCTGCCCCGCTTCAGGTGAGCCCCGCTTCAGGTGAGCCCCGCTTCTCTCTCCTCTCTCTCTGCCCCTTGCTCACTTGCACTCTCAATAAATAAATAAATAAATAACGTGCACCAGTCCAATCTCTGCTTCCATGATCACACTGCCTGCTTGTGTTGTGCATCGAATCTCCCTCTGCCTCCCCCCTCATAAGGACACTTGTGATTCTATTTAGGGTCCACCTGGATAACCAAGGATAGTCTCCCCATCTCAAGATCCTCAACGTAATCACATCTGAAAAGTCCCTTTGCCATACAAGGTGACAGTCACAGATTCCAAGGATGACAACTGGGTATCGTCAGGCGCCATGATTCAGCCTACCGGAGCAGGTAAACTCAGTTCGGTTTGGGATGTGTTGAGAATACCTATTAGACCATCCAAGTGGAAACACTGAGTAGACTGTTAAATATGCAGGTATGGCGTTCCGTACAGGGCCTAGACTAGAGACATTCATTCCGGAGGCACCAGCATATGGGTGAGATTTAAAGCCACGAGGCTGGATTTAAAGCAGATACTCACTTTCGCACCCCGCCCTGCAGTTAGCGCACAGACACATGACCAAACTCTGCCAACCAGCTGTCCCCATTGGAGCACAGTGGATTGAGACAGCAGGGCCCCCCAACGTCTAGTCTAGGGGCACCCGGGTGGCTCATTTGGCTAGCGTCTAACTCTTGATTTCGGCTCAGGGCGTGATCTCATGGTTCATGAGATCAAGCCCCACACTGGGTTCTGCTGAGTGCACTGGGATTCTCTCTCCCTCTCTCTCTCTGCCCCTCCCCCACTCACACTCTCTCTTTCTCTCAAAATAAATAAGCTTAACAAGTAACCTGTTCTAACCATGAGGATGCCTAAGGCACCAGCGCTCTGAGGCTGCAGTGGCAGAGATTGTAGAAGCACCCAGGTGTGAGCACAGGTACTCTCTGAGCTGTGTGTACCCACACAGGCTCCCCTCCGGCAGTTCGGGGTCGACTTCGGCCTGGCCTCCGGTCCCGCTTCCCCGGCTCTCACAGGAAGATTCTGTGCGGTGCCTTATAAATCTTTGAATACATCCCATTTCTGCTGAACTACCTGGAGCTGATGTGTGATGCCTGTAGGCAAGAATTTCGACCGATGCCCTTCCTACTTGAACTTGAGGAACCTGGGCCCTGTGCCCAGGCCTGGCTCTTTAAGAGTCTTTCCAGTGTCCTGTCTAGAAAGGAGGTGGGGGGCTAATACACCCGTTGCTTTCTTCAATCTCCACGACAAACCTGCGAGGTGGTTTCCATTGTTTTTCGTTTGCGGCCTGAGAAAACCGCCCACCTCAGGCTATGGGACTCCAAGCGCAGTGCTCTTACCAACGCCCAAAGGCTCAGTGTCCACAGTCTGTGGGCAGGAAAGTTCCCGGTGAGAAGTTGGGGGGTGGTGTGTGTAGAAAGAGTGTGAAGGACCCGGGGGGCCAGACTAGAAGTCTGGATCGGTCACAGGAACCTTGAAGGTCTTTGAGCAGCGTGGACGGGACGGTGGGTGTCCTTTCCACATGAAGCAAGTGAGGACCCAGGATCATAGGACATTCTTGCTCTTTCATGAGAGGATGAGAAAACTGCATGCCTCCTCCGAGGGGTCAGCTCCAGGGTCACATGCTGTCATGGTGGGTCTGCTCGCGCCCAGCCTCCCCCACTGTGCGGCTCTGCGCGCCCAGCCGAGGACGGTCCCCACCGCGTGGCCCAGGTCCATCCACGGGGCGGCAGGAATGCACACAGGGAAGACAGGTCCCTTCAAGTGGAGTCGCGCCCATCGCCCCACCGCAGCGCAAAGGGAAGCCAGGAAATACGCTCGCCGCTCTTGGCAGCCGTGAGCCCAACTGAAATGCGAGGGTTCTCTTACTAAATGAAGGAGACAAGAGCTCTGTGGGGATGGTGAGCAGTCCTTCTCTCTCCTGTCTGCGTGTCTGTTTCTCTTTCTAATGGACTAGTTATGAAACTGAACAAAATATTCTTTTTTTTTAAACGTTTTTTAACGTTTATTCATCTTTGAGAGAGAGACAGACAGACAGACCACGAACAGGGGAGGGGCAGAGAGAGAGGGAGACACAGAACCCAAAGCAGGCTCCAGGCTCCGAGCTGTCAGCACAGAGCCCGACGCGGGGCTCGAACCCACGGGCCGCGAGATCACGACCTGAGCCCAAGTGGGACGCTCAACCCACCGAGCCACCCAGGCGCCCCAAAATGGACAAAATATTCCATGTGACGCACACAGCACAATGTGCAGCAGCCAGAGTACTCTTTTCCCCTTACAGATGGAAGAACGGATGGTACGGACTTCAGCTCACCTGGGCAGGTGTTCATCAAACCTGCACCATCTTAGCCGCTCAGAGAGCCCGAGCCGCTCAGTGCAGAAGCACAGGACTCCCTCCGCAGCCACATGTTCTAGGGCGCGTGTGTAAAATCATACTGCAATTCATCAGTGGTCTATAAATAGTCCCGCTTATCTTGGGGAGGCAAGGAGGTTGGGGCAGGACAGCTACTTACGAGTTTAAGGCACAGTCAGGATGAGTGCTGTGGTCCACGCACATTAAGAGCTTCACTGGTCTACAGAATGAAAAGAAATAATATTTAAGGGATTATTTAAATGACTCTCACTCATCAAACATATACGGTATGCCCGGAAAGTACCAGGGATACAAAGTCTCTCACCAAACACAAACTGTTTGTTTTTAAAAACATTAGCCAGCATTTATTAGGCACTTACTACATACCAAGAAATTTGATGATGGATTTTTTTATTTGTTTTTAATTGTTTTAATCTTTATTTATTGCTGAGAGAGAAATAGCACACACAGAGTGCGAACAGGGGAGGAACAGAGAGACAGGGAGACACGGAATCCGAAGCAGGCTCCAGGCCCCGAACTGTCAGCACAGAGCCCGACGTGGGGCTCAAACTCACGAACCGTGAGATCATGACCTGAGCCGACATCGCACGCTTGACTGACTGAGCCACCGAGGCGCCCCCGATGAGATTTTCTATATAGACTTTGCCATTTAATCCTCACAAAGACCAAACAGAGCAGGTATTAATACCATCTCCAGTTTACAGGTGAGAAAGCGGATCAGAGTAACTGGCCCAAGAACACACACTAATGGGGCGGAATGTGCGCTGAATGCGAACCCTTCAGGCTCACCCCAGAGCCCAAGCGCGGAACCACCCAAGCAAGCATGTACAGTCTTGCCTGGAAAATCCTCTTGATAAGTTCTTTGGCCAGAAAGTTGGACTTGAAGCACACGGGTGATGGCCTTTGCCCAGGCTCCAGCAACAAAGAAAGCTGACTGGCTCCGCGAGTAGAGGGAGGACACGTGGAGTCCCAGGAGGGCGGGGAAAGCCGTAGTGAAGAGAGGAGCCGGGTAACAGGAGCACAGGGCACACTAGGTAGGAGTCAGGCCAACAGGGGCTCCCTCCCTGGCCGGGTGGCTGGAAGGGACTTTGGAGAAACAGGAAATGTGTGTGCACTCTACTGCTCCCTGAGGCTTGCCTACTTTCCAGTAAAGTCTACGATACACAGCTGTTTGTTATGACCGTAGTTTATTGCTGTGGCTTATGCCCCCCACTCCAAAGTCATTGAGTTTCACTGAGTCTGGCCCAAGACAGCGCTCACAGAAAGCAACCAGGAGGCAAGAGAGGCTATGACAAGAGAAGATGTGGCCAGAATTGGCAAGAATCTTGAGGAGAACTTCCGTCTGCCACAGGACAGAGGACAACATCACCTGAATTTTATGGGGCAGGTTCTCAGTTACATCTGGGTTGGAGTTTGGTTTGTTACCCTTTGTGACTCTCCTGCAGTAAGCCTTCTGTTACCTCCCCTGTGCCCCGGGAGCAAAACAAAACCCCACCTTAACACAAGAGCCCGTGGGCAGTAAAGAAGTGGGAGAAGGGGAGCTGACCCAGGCTTGCAAGGGAAGAGCCCTGAAGGCCAGCATCAGTGGGGATGACACTAGGGCAAGTGACAGCAGGCTAAGTCCCTGAGGACAGCCCTCAGGGAAGGAGACCTTGGGCTCTGGCCTGGGTCACCATACGTGGCCTGACGACTTACAAACACAACTTCCTCGAGGGAGTTCTGGGCCAAAGCAAAGTGGTCTCACATGTGGAACTTTTTGGCACAATTTTCTCCATCATTGAGCAGTTTTAGTAAAAAAAAAAAAAACAAAAAACAAAAATAAAACAAAAAACAAAAACTGCCTTTCGAGAAAAATATACAAAAATCTGGTGCTTTCTTGGGCGCTCTATCGAAGTGTTGAATCACTATATTGTACACCTGAAACTAAGATTACATGGTATGTTAACTGACTGCAATTTGAACAAAAAACATTAAAAATAAAATAAAATCTGGTGCTTTTTTTTTTTGTTAAATTTTTTTTTCAACGTTTATTTATTTTTGAGACAGAGAGAGACAGAGCATGAACGGGGGAGGGGCAGAGAGAGAGGGAGACACAGAATCGGAAACAGGCTCCAGGCTCCGAGCCATCAGCCCAGAGCCTGACGCGGGTCTCGAACTCACGGACCGCGAGATCGTGACCTGGCTGAAGTCGGACGCTTAACCGACTGTGCCACCCAGGCGCCCCAAAATCTGGTGCTTTAAGAAAGGAAGGGTCCTACAGTAGAGGGGCTCCTGGGTGGCTCAGTCAGTTAAGCATCCAACTCTAGATTTCAGCTCAGGTCCTGATCTCACAGTTTCATGGGTTTAAGCCCCACGTCGGGCTCTGCCCTGATAGTGTGGCACTTCCTTGAGATTCTACCTCTCACTCTGTCCCTCCCCTGCTTGCACTCTCTTTCTCAAGAATAAATAATAATAAATTAAAAAATGAAAGAAAGAAAGAAAGAAAGAAAGAAAGAAAGAAAGAAAGAAAGTCCTCTCGTAGAAAGAAAAGAGCATACTTCAAAGCCATAGAATGCTAGGTTCAAAACTCAGCTCTGCCACAGAGTAGTGACCTTGCAAAACTTAATTAAATTTCTCTGACCCTTAATCTATCCCTCCATGGAAAGCGGGTGTTTATATAAAGCTTAACAACAGACAAAACGAATCCACCACAAGTCTAGACAGAGGCTACTATTGTGGGCAAGTGGGGAGACTCTGGGGTGCTGGTTATATTGTTTCTCGATCTAGACAGGTGCGTGTGGAACTTGTGAAAATTCATTCAACCGTGTACTTAGGGCTTGTGCATTTTCCCGTACATAGTTTATATTTCCCCAAAAAGAGGACATTGTTTTAATAGAAGATGGCAACACCTAACTTTGGAGTTTCCTGAGAGCGTTAACAATAACAGATGGATACACTGGGACAGCTTCAAGCTGTGGGGCTCCTTCTCTGGGAAAGCGGAGGGCAGCCCACATTTCCCGTGGGCTCTGCTCGGTGGGGACGATTACCCAGCCCCCAGAGCCACGGAGAAGGTATGGTACAGTAGAGCCAGACGGATGGTTGTGGGGCCTGGCCAAGACCGCAGATGTAATTGCCACCCTTGCCAATTTGGGGGAAAGCCACTAAGGCCTTGCAGTGTTGGACTTCGAGCAGGGCTGCAGACTTAGGCAGTGAGGCAGAGAAAAGCAGGAAGCAGCAAGGCAAGAACTCCCGGTCCAGGGGAGGGTTTCCAACAGGTATCAGGGTTTCAGCCAAGCTTATCTAAACTTCCAAGAATCAGGAAAGCCCTCAGGCAATATGTAAATACATAAAGTGCTTAGCCTACAATGTGCTCAGTAAATGGCAGCTGTTACTATTTTCTATCGGTCCACTGTCAAGGTCTATCTGTAAGTACCTCAAACAAACCCACCTTAGCACCTATTTTAGGCAAGGACCCATGGCGTCCACAAATGCCAGGACCACAGTGCCTGTCCTCAGGCGACTCACCATTGCTGTAAGCAAGGGAGGGGAAATGGGACAAGCAGCCAGGAAACAGGACTTTACTGTCTGTCCTTGAAGCACTTTTTTTTTTTTTTTTTTTTTTGAGACAGAGAGAGAGAGCATGCACGCATGCTGGAGACAGGCAGGAGAAGAGAGAGAACCTTAAGCAGGTCCAACACTCATCGTGGAGCCCAAGCCCAACACAGGGCTTAATCCCACGACCCCAGGATCACGACCTGAGCAGAAATCAAGAGTCAGACCCTCAACTGACTCGGCCACCCAGGTATCCCCTTGAAGCATCTTTTCTTAAAGACTCTGGACAAAAGTGGGTGGGACCCAGGCAGAGGTCTGGCCAGAAGGCACCCTCAGCCCTCGTGCCCAGTGACAACCCAGAAGGCACAGTCCAGGGGCCCTCAGCGCTGATTCCAGCAGAACCCTTTCCAACGGCCCCTTGCCCTCCAAAATCACCGCTCCGCCCTGGAAATTGTGCACTGATTAGGATATACCACCTACAGGTGATCATTAATACAGCGGTACTGAAAGCCCATTTTCTCCAGTCTCTCTTCCAGGATTTTCACACTGCCTTCTCCACAGGATTCCCTAAAATACAAAAACATAGAATATAAATAAAATCAAAGGAGGAAGAAGGAAGTTGTTTCTGGGTGAATTACAATGTCCCATGACCACGTGCTTCCTGGGTTAGTCTCCACTCTGAGGGAATATGGGAAAACCCGCTGCACCCTAGAAAGCTGAACGCTGAGAACCTGTCTTGGCGGGTCCAGCTGAGGAGGGGGCGGGGGGG